ATGGATCAATTTGCAATCACTAGAGCTGATACTTTCCAACAGATTACGTAGCACATTATTAAAAATCAACAGTTAGAAGAGCGGGCAAAAAAATGTAATGCATACTCTAGGCATATAGCATTTCGCGATAATCAGGAAAGATTTTAATGAAATAATAGGTTTTAAAAAGTGGACTTTTTGGAATTTGGTGGTCCAGGGGCGGAGACCTGAAGGGGGTTTTGAAAAAATCCCCCAGGAGGCTCCGACAAAGTAGCATTTTTAGTGTCTTATACAATGGATTTCTCAAACAGAATATTCATGAATATTTTATTTAAATTTTCATTAATTTGGGTTTTTTGGGGGCCTAAAGAAGTAACATTACGTCCTGTACATCTGCAGGCCTACAGATAAGATTGTTCATATTATAGGTCAATATGCAGTCACCGGAGACGATAAATTTCCAACAAATTTCATATCATATTAAAATCAACGGCTGGATGTGCTGGCAAATAGGCCTATATAAGCCTAATGTAATGCATGCTATAGCATTTTGTGATAATTAGGAACAATTTGTGTGGGGCCGACTCTGATGGCGCTGGCTGCATGTGTTGATTCAAACTATTTGAACATTTTGGTATCCCCACCCCTAACAAAAAAAATCTGGATCCGCCTCTGTAATATCTGTTTTAAATGATAATGATAATGATGGTAGTAATAATAAAAAATAATAAAATGTTGTCGTACATTCTTTACAGTCATGTCCTTTATATCCAGCCATACACGAGCAACCCATTGGTTCAGGTAAACAGAACAAAATGGCACCGCACCCCCTGTTTGATGTACTACACACTGCTGAGCAGGAACGGCCCCAGTTGTTATCTCCACATGCTAAAATTGCAGAATGCATCAGTAAATTAATGTCAATGTGCATGAAAATATTCGAGATTCATAATGAAAAACCGTAACATCATTTATAACGCGGATATGTTTTAAAGCTACTGATGTTAGTATTAGTAGGCCTATATAATAAGCCTACCTTGGATCATGGATTTTTCTGCCATGCTTTGTTAGATAAACATCGTAAACTGTTTTAAATAAAATTCAAGATAAAACTGCAAAACGTACGTTCACTACAATCATCGCCCATGAACCCAGAAGGACAAACACAATTTCCTGTAGTTGGATGGCATACACCCCCATTGTAACAAACTGGACAGTCTTTGTCACACTCAGCGTCCCATCTTGGAGACGGACAGCCTAAAATACACAATAAATAAATGTATAAACTGAAAACGCATAATTACAGTACTTTCATCCTCTCAACCTTCATTATCACACCTTTATCGTTGATTAATTTATATATGTGTGTGTGGTAAAAATACAATAAAACAAACAAACAAAACAAACACCTATTAATCATGGAGTCCGCTATGTTAGATCGTGGTTTTACAAAAAACAAAAAAAAAACAAAAAAAAAAACCAAGATCAAATTCTACCAAAGACTAAAAGTGACGATTAATCTTATTTATAGGCAATAGTTTTGTAGCAGCTTACTCTGTTGTTATCGATTTTACACTTTTCCTGGTCAAGATATCTGGCAACGAAAGATGGTTATGATCGTTATTAGAAAGAAATAATTAAGAAATATTGGTAGAATCTGTTGAGAAGCCACCTCCTACAATGAGTTGAGGGAACAGATTATTACCTCTTACAATGAGTTGAGTATAACTCTGAAGCCCCAATTCCCTTTCGCCTTCAAAGTAACACTCGTATAGTCCTCCATCTAGAGTTCGAACACTTTCAATAATCACTTTAGTCTTGCCATTCCAATCATTTATTATTCCACCTCCGTTATGGCGCCAACGAAGTTTGTCGATATTCGTATTACGTTCGATTTCCATTTCAAGTTCAACTAGTTCACCGACACCGACGATTATCGTTGTGCTCTTTGACCGAACTTTCGCTGTTTTTTAAAGGAATAAAACTATCTATAAGAACATTGTTTTATAAATATAAATGTTGCAAATAACAACACAATACATTTAAATGCAATTTCAATATTTGTAAATTTGGAATTATAAAAATGGCATTTTATTCGTTTCTACATACTGACATTTTTGTTTTCATACCTTTTTGCGGGGTAAAAATGGCTTTTTACAACAATTATTTATGTTTTGTTCGAGGGCCTAATGGAAAGCGATTTGTTTGTTTCATTGTTTTAACTTCGTGAAAGATAATAGGCTTATTAAATTGATATCCGTTTTCAACACTGACGATGATTGATATTTGTATCTGTATTTTGATAGCACATTTAATCGTCTCTATAGCGTATAATACTTATTCGGAGAGGGAGTGGACTACCAATTGTGTTGGGCCTTGTTATGTCTTACTCCCGACACTCTCCTGGTTACCTCACCCATTTTACATTTGTTCCTTTCTTAGTATCAAATTGATAATAAATAAATAAATAACTGCCAACAATTCTACCTTCTTTTGAAATGGTGAAAGTCGTAACGTTGGTACTTAGTAATCCGATAGTTGCCCAAGAATAAAACGCACCAATATTCTCAGCGCTGATATTGGCAGGAAGTTGTAGCAACAGTCCTGTGAAGTCATACCGTGGTGTCTGTAACACTACACTTTGTACAGGAAACATGCTGTCATTCGTTTGCAAGACCCCGTTGTCCAGCCAGTGAAGCTCATGTCCGTCTACACCAGTTCCACTATCAACTCGACGTCCGAAATTGATATTGTTAGTTCTGTCCTCGCCGATGGCATAACCTCCAATTTTCAGACTAGATTCGGCGTTATCAAATTGTATCATTGGGTGATAGTTAAGTAGCACAAAATCCAACCTAGTATCTGGTATTAATATAGATTAAGTGAATGAATAGAAATAAAATCCATGTGTTTCCGAGGTACAATTTACTGTATTACCGTATATAGTAATAATAATAATTGGATTTAATTAGATTGGTTGGTATTTTGAAATATGCCAGTGATAGAACACTTAGACTTATTTTTAGTGTGGTCCTGATGGTGGCAAATTGTTCAATACACTAGGAGACAATACCTTACTCTATTCCGAAGGGTGTTAGCCCTACTGCGTATTTTTTTTTTTTTTTTTTTTTTAACGTGCCAAATCAGAGCGGTTTTAACGTCTCATCCGAAAGATGACCCGCTACCCGTTTAGCCAACTGACCTAAGCTACTTTTTTTTAAATTAATATTGATATGCATGAGAATAATAAATATACTGATTTATGGATAATATATTATGAAACAATACGTACTTTCTCTTGGTGTTGTAAAATTCACCGTTGGCGATAGAGGGCCTCGTGATGTCACAGCTCCTGTTTTTATCAAACATGATATACCTACGTCGTAATT